AGTTCAACCGGATTCCTTCGGTTAACATGCAAACTCCTGTTAACTAAGTGTTGCTGACATGTTCATTTCTAATTGGTGGGTTCACCCTTCCCGTAAACCTAAGGGTCCACTAAATCTGGACTCACGGAGTCAGGCTTTAGCGTCAACAAAAATAAATAAATAAATAAATAAATCTCGTTTGTTTAGTTGTTCTAAACTTCTAATATCTTGCCTTGCCCGCCCAGGTTCTCCAAACATATTCATTCCATCTCAAACCTCTCTCTCTCTCTCCTCTGGTTCCGCCACTAGAGACCACTACTACCAACTGGTCGATGGAGGCTTTTTTCAACTGCTTGACCCTCTCTCTCAAGCTTCTTTCTTCTTCCCAGCTACAACCATCGGAAGAGATCAGAACAACTCTTCATCTTTGAATTTTTTTAAGGGATTGCCTACATTTCCCACTTGAAAACGGAAACCCTGAGAGGCCGGCCTGCTCTCCTTTTCCCATTCTCTTTTTTCTTTTCATTTTTCCTGGTCACAATCAATTGTGCAAAGTAAAAGTCACAGTCGAACTTGACACTTTGGTGATCTCTGCTACTTTCTCTAAGTGACAAACAAAGCAGGTGTTATGCACTAGCTCACTGAAGATGGTCGTGACTGAGTGGCTTCTCCTTCTGGGTTTCAGTCTTCCACCACCTGTTTGGATAAATAAAATTTTCCAAATGGGTATTTTATTTTCCTTGTGATGACTGATGAGCCTCATCGGCTACTTGACTGGCCGTGTCATGCCCAGACATTCACCAACCGCATAGATAAATTGCTTGTCATCAAGTGTCAACTCCTAATTATTGCTTAAAACGAGTTAATTAAAGATAGTTAAGATGTTGTTGACTCCAGTGAAAAAACTTGGAAGAAAACTGGTTAGAACTTGCCGAGTAATTGACTGTTTCGAATTCATCCCTTTACTCTGATAAGTGAACTTGATTCCCACTCAACTGGATCAATTTTGCTGGTTTCCTACATCCTGCCATGTCGTTTTTCTACAGAGAAAGGCTGCCATTCATGACTGATTTTGGGGTAGATACTGATGAATTGATTTTTATTGATGCATCGATTTTTTGGCTAAGTACCTCGTCATTTGGTCTGCTTCTAAGTGGTCGATGACTCAGGCCGAAGTGGAGAGCTTTAGCTGCCGAGCTGAGTCGAACTGGGCAGGTTAGGTGGCAAGCTGACTATAATGCCGAGCTGACCAGGTGGCGAGCTGCCTGTGAAGTGTCGGGCTGACCAAGTGGTGAACTGGATTGATGAGCTTCGTTGCTCTTTACAGACCTGCAAGGAACCAAATGTCAGAGGACCTGGGGTGGCTTACCCGGCGAGGTCGCTCCGATGCTTAAGTCAGTACTATCATAGTAGACTGCGAGCTAAAAATCACAAAGTATGAGAGTTAGAATTTGCTTACTTGCCCCCCTCATGTCATTGGGGTTGGTGCCTTTATATAGGCATTGTTTGGCGTGGGTTTCATGCACCATATCCGAAATTTCCGAGAAGTCGTCTAAGTGGTCCGAGATTCCCTAAGGCAACCGCCATGCATGTTGACCACCCTCCGGATTGTTCGGCACGTGGGCCAACTTCCAAGGATCGTGGGAGTGTTCGGATATGCATGCCGAATTTGTCGTCGAGCACGTCTCGCATGTCGCCAGGTTAGCACCTGGGCCAGTCCGCCAGGTCGCGCCAGGGCAAGGCTGCCAGGTCGCGCCAGGGCCAGGCCGCCAGGTCATGCCAGGGCCAAGCCGCCAGGTCACGTCAGGACCAGGCTACCAGGTCGTGCCAGTGCCAGGCTGCCAGCTCGTCCCTGTGCCAGGCTGCTAGTTTGCGCCAATGTCAAGTCGCGCCAAGGCCAAGCTGCCAGCTCATGCTTGTGCCAGGCTGCCAATTCACGCTAGAGCCAGGCCACCAGGTGAGACACCATCAACTTGGCTAAGGCAAGTTATTGCCAAAGTAGTTCCGGGTATCACCTAGTTATTCCGAAATGTCATGTGTTACAATATCATTGGAGGGTCAAATCCGCCCTCATCAAATACCACTTGTTTTGTAATTTGTTTTCACACGCATCGCCAACAGGACTTAGTTGTGCTCTAGATTAGGTGGTTCATTGTAGGAGAGAGCTTGCGCAGGGTATAAGGCCGAGTGAGGGACATAAGAAAACCAAAAAACAGAACCACCGCCAAAGACTTTGGTCAGAGTAGACAATTCATTTGTTCTGAGAATAAACTTCTAGAAAAAGCTCGTGGGACCTCAAACTGCTTTGTTCAATTACGACTCAACTCCAAGGAAGCAGCCCTACGACTAAAGCATGTTTGAAATGTCAGGGATGAGAGACGAGAGGGAAGAATAAAGAAGCAAAGTTTCTGGAGAGAGAGGGGGGGGAAGGAAAAGGAGGAACAGAGAGAGTGGGGGCTTGAGATGGAACGGCAATTCAGACTTGAAAGCCGGCTACAAATGTACCGTGGTTGGGGGGGGGGCGGAAGAGGAAGGAGATGTACTTTTTGAGATTTGAGCGGGTTAACAAAATTTGATAAGTTATGAGTTCCGATTGTCGTTAAGTCCTTGACTCCGTTAGTTTTGAGTTTGGAATGAAGTGGTGTCGTGGATACTCCTGGACAGAGGATGCGAACCCGTCAGGATTAAAGTCTTGGGCCCACGTGCAGTTTAGCCCCGTGACCCACTTGCAGTCTGGTCGGTTAGGTGGGTTGTTACACTGCAATCGACCATCTTTATAATTATAAATAGGGAAACTTCTTGATCAATAACCTTGTATTTTGGTTCGAGTGATAATTTGGTCCTCAAATTTTAAAATGCAACAATTCAGTACATGAACTTTCTGACAATCCAGTATTTGAACTTTCAAAATGTGATAATCCAGTACTTGTAGTTAATCAGTTCGTTAATCAATTGTTAAGTGACATTTGAAAAGTCAAAAGTGCCCTAAGAATGTCATCTAATTCTCTTTATCAACCATCTAAACATTGACAATAAAATGAACAATCCCAAATTCTAAATTCTTCTAAATAGTCACCAACTTTTTTTAATAGAAGAGGCTAGGATTTGGGATTGTTCAGTTTTTTGTCAACGTTTGGATGATTGATAAAGAGAATTAGATGACATTCGAAGGGTATTTTTGACTTTTCAAATGTCACTTAACAATCGATTAACGGACTGGTTAACTACAAGTACTGGATTGTCAAATTTTGAAAGTTTGGATACTGGATTGTCGCATTTTAATGATCGGTGACCAAATTGTCATTCGAGCCAAAGTACAGGGTACTGGTTGGGAATTTTCCCTATTTATAATTACAAAAATGGTCGGTTGCGGTGTAACAACCTAGTTAACCAACCAAACTGCAAGTAGGCAATGGGGCTAAATTGCACGTGGGCCCAAGACTCTAATCCTAACACCCTTCGATTCCATTCAAATGCTAACATGTCAACAAAGCGTGTCAGGTAAGATTACAGTCAACTGGGAGAGAATGTGATTGCAAAAAGATACTATTTTTTTTTTTGCAAAAAGAAAACACGATATTAGGTTTCTTTATTTTCAAAATTTACTTGCCATGTTCGTCTATTCAAATGGCCACTCTGGTGTTGGACTGAAATGCTGGCAAACTGTAATGGTGAACGACAAGGATTGGAAACCCCATTAACAAACCTATTTTCAAAAACAATAATACAACCCCATTAATAGCAAGGATCGAAAATTCCCGATTAGTACCTTGTACTTTGTGTCTAATACCACTTTGGTCCCCGAACTTTAAAATGCGACAATTCAGTACCTAAACTTTCAAAGCGTGACAATCCAGTAACTGTAGCAGTTAATATGCCATTAGGTGACATTTGAAAAGGACACAAATGCCCTTCTAGTGTCATTTAATTTTCTTTATCAATCATCTAAACATTGACAAAAAAAATTAATAATCCCAAATCCTTGCTTTTTTCATTCAAGAAAGTTGGGGTTACACTTGAGTGGGTATTTTGGTAACCCCAACTTTCTTGAATGGAAGAGGCAAGGATTTGAGACTATTAATCTTTTTTGTCAATGTTTGGATAGTTGATAAAGAAAATTAGATGACACTCGAATGACATTTGTGTCTTTTTTTAAAGTGTTACTTAACGACTGATTAACATCTATTAACAATAGGTGAATTTTCCCTTTTTTTGTGTTATCAGTAGATTTATGAAAATTTCATAAAGATATTTGGGAAAAATATAAATTAACAAAAAATTTGAAAAATATAATTTTTTCTGTCCCTATAAAGACTCAATATGTTTTAGATCTATGGATTTATCTATCATATGAATAGAGCAATTGAAATTTCTTCCTTAATATTTTTTTTGATTTTTTATATTTTTAGAATTAAAAATTAAATAATAATTAATTATATTTTATCATTTGATCACAACAATTGAATATATTATAATTCCATGGATGATCTATCATATCCACAGAACTATTGAAACTTCTTCTTTAATAATTATTTATTTTTATTTTTATGTTTTTAGAATTAAAAAATAAATAAATAATTATATTTTATTATTTGATCACAATGGTTGAATATATTATAATTCTATGGATGATCTATCATATCCACAAAGCAATTGAAATTTCTTCTTTAATAACTATTTTTGAATATATTATAAATGTTTATTTATTTTTTATAATTTTTAAAATAATAAATAATTATTAATTATATTTTCATATAGTAGTTGTGCCAATGCATATTTTATGGTTGAATAGGAGATATGGGTTTTTCCATCCCATAAAATATTAAAACTTAATAATTATAATTTATAATATATAGTTAAGTATATGATTTTTAATAAAGTTATAATTCACTATAGTATATATATATATTTTTTTAAAAATATTAAAATATATTAATTTCATATATATATATATACGGTTTTATATTGATGTATTTTTATGATTTATTAAACTATTTATAATGTATTTATGCTTAATTTTTTTCGATGCGCATGAAGCGTATTCGAAGAAGAGGAGGAAGAAGAATCAAGCACTGAATGAAGGTTACATTCAGAAAGAAAGAAATTAAACAAGCTGCTCCATCGCTTGTCAAGAGAACGAGTGACCCTTCGAGTTCATGACGTCGTGATCAAGGGCAATGCCAAGGCCAAGGATTTTCTTATCGAAGCTGAAGTTGAGGTACTCAAGAATGCAACCTCCATGCAAGAGCTCCTCCAAGCTGCTGGCATTGTCAATACAGGCCTTCAGAGGCTTGAAATATTCGATTCCGTCACCATTTCTCTTGACTTGGAACCCCCGAGCTACCCCATACTGCTAATATCATTGTCGAGGTCGTGGAGGCCAAAAATCCCCTCATTGGATATATCGGAATCTTTTCCAAGCCTGAGGTACTGCTATTATTGTTTTCTTATTCCCCCATTTCTGAATTTTCATTTTTTTGGGGGGCTAAACTGTTGCTTCGTGCTGGGGTTTTCGTCTTTGGTGTCGCAAGAATTTGCTGTTACAACTTGGAGTCGGTTGTCCAGTTTTCTATGAATGTGTGGCCGATCGCTATGGAAATTAGATTGTTGTATGTTTGGGCGGGGGATTATGATGTTGTAACCGTTGTTTGTTCACTGAATTTTGTCTTGCATGATGAAAATGCTAGTTAGGTTGCATCTTATAGAAGGAAGAAAAGCTTATCATGGTGCCACACGTCCCCCAACAAAAAAGGGAAAACTGCCTTTTGCCAAATACCAAGAAAAGAAGAGGAGATTTGCTTTCTGCAGGTTTTTTTCTTACACAGAGATCTCATATGAACATAGTAGAAAACAATCTTGCAAACTTTTGAATGGACTCTACTGTTTGCTTGATTTGAATTATATCTCAGTCTGTAAATCATTGGGCCACTGATGTTGATTGATCTTCCTTCACAATATTTTCTTCTTCTAAGGGACATATTTTTCTTTCACTTGTTAAACCAAGGAAAGCAGGTAATGTACATTTTGTGCTCCTCTATTTCTGTAGTTCTTGGGAGATGTGTAAACCTACGTGAAATGTGCATAGTCATTCTCTGCTAATTGCCCAAGTGTGCATGTTTGAATAACTGAGAATCTGATATAGAGTCATTGTTGTTTAATTCTAGATGTGAACATCTAGTTTACATACTAATACTTATATTCGATTAAAATGCTACAGCGAAATCTCGCCTTGCAGTCATATACAAGATATAGATATGCATTTCAGCATACATGAGCAAACATGTGGATATGTATGCAGATGTACATATTTGTGAATGCATAGATAACCATATTATACAAATTTATTAAAACATACATTAATTCATATGGGTAGAAATGGACCATTCAATTTTTTTATGTTTAAGAACATGGCGAATTTTCTTGTAGATTTCTCTTTCTATTACATTCTTTGGATTTTATACTTAAAATGGTTATAAATATATTATCAAATTATCTTCATATGGTTTTTGAAGTTGCAAACATGCTTTTGTAGGCTAGGTCTTGGTCACTTGAAGGATCACTCAAATTGAAAAACTTGTTTGGGTATGGGGACATTTGGGATGGTTCCTGGGCATATGGGTGGGACCAAACATCAGAAGTTAAGTTCTGGCTTGTCCTTGCCCAGATTCAAAGGATTAATAATCCCTCTTGTGGCTTGCATATCTCTACTTTCCCAGGATTGGTTGAAGTCCTCCTTTTACAAAGATCCATCATTGGGCTTATCTGTTGGTTTAATTTCTTCTAGGCATCATGACCTGGTTTACAATCTTACATGGCATACCTTAAGGAATCACCTTCGACATAGTCTACTCTCATCCCTGAAATACACTTTTAAACTTGAAATGAGGGATTGGCCATTGAGGCCAACGAGAGGATATGCCTTGGTTTCTACTTTGGTAGTATGTTTTTTTTTACTGTTATTCTTTTTTGGTGCCCTTACTTAAGTAGGACAGATCCCTGCTAATCAAAATTAGGGTATGCGCAAATAACTACTGTCTAGTTCTTCATTACTGGAACTTTTCTTCCATACTTGATACTATGCATGGCAGGCTTCTGTTGTAAAATCTGTTCTTTATCTCTCTCTTTTTTTTTTTTTAAGGATAGATGGAAATCAGAACAGCAATAAACTAGTGTTCAATCAAAGAAAAAGCAAAAAGAAAGTTGGAAAGACGAGTTCAGATCAATAGATAAGAGATAAAGGAAGAGAATAGGGTTTTGGGAGATAATTGAACCTTCTATCAGCCCCCTCTAAACTTCCTTTATTAATTCTAATCATAATTAGGGAATAATTACAATGATGCCCATAATAGGGCAGCTGCACTAAAGGTACTTCAAACAACAATTAAGGCCCATAATAACTTGGGTCCATAAATATAAAAAGCAAACTATAAATAGAAGGACTAAGGCCAAGACCCAATAGCTTAACAAGGACAACCTTTGTTTTTCAGATAGGCCTTGTAAATGTGCACAACTGTAGTGTACACTGTAAATGCTTGCCTCTGGTAACTGATATTAACACTTTGAATGCATCTGTTTATTTGATGGATCAAAGTGATCTACATCTAATTATCTGTAGTCCTGAACTGTTTCTTGGGTCTGATGGGGGCAGTTCTTGATGTTGTTTGGTAAAATTCATTTAGTGAAGTGGGATTCAGTAGAACTTTAGTTTCTACAAGTTTTAAATTGTTGATCAGGCTAATTGAAAGTTCAGTTAAGTTGGTGATTGTGCATATTATTAAGAGTATCATCTTATAGAAGAATCTTCTTCTTCAGATTTTGTAGTCAGATAAACTTTAAAGGGATAATTTAGATGGGATGATAATCAGAACATCAATGAGTGCATGCAATCTAGATTTCCACAGACTTATGTAAAGATGTAACCATATGCTTATCATATTACTTAAAAACTGCAAATTTTTTATTGCTTAACTGATTCCTGGAGAATAATTTGATCATTTTCTTTTCTATCATAGTGCTATATTGGTAATTTGCCATAAATATTTCACATAAAATTTTGTTTGCTCATCATAGTAAATTTTCTGAATTTTAAAATCACCCTAGTTTATTTGTGTTTGCTAAATTTTAGCATTGTCTTGTTATAATAGTTTATTTAGATCATATAACTTTGGGTTAGAAAGTTATTTTATATTTCTTAAAACTTCAATATTTGTTACCATCTCATATACATGCTTAAAATTTCCCCCATCATTTTTTGGTAAATTGTTTATTGGAATTTTAATATTAGAATGAATTCGTCTAAACAACCATTATTGTTTGCTTCAATTCCTTTTCATTACTATTCTTCTTGTTAGAGATTTACCACAAGTCTTCTGCAGTTTCATTGAACTAAATAGGAAGAGAAGTTTCATTTCTAAATACATCTTAATAGACTAATAGTCACTGCAGGATATGAAGTGTCTTTGTATTTCAAGTTCTTAAGAGTATTTCAGGCATTTCTTTTAATTACCAAAACTTTGAATTGATTACTTTTAAGAAAACATCACTTATGGTTGTCAGTGGAGAGCTTTGAAAAAAATGCACTTTTATAATGATAGGATTCATAGTCAAAAAGTTGCTGTATGATAGAGAACAAAAGTTTTGCAGTCTTAGTGCTGCATACAATCTTGAGAGTTTTCTAATTTCATCTGTATTTAGTTTGAGCTTGATGTGAAATCCTTAACTCATGGTTTTTTCTAAAAGAATAAATAAGAAGAAAGAAAGCATGGGAAAATTTGGGGTGTTTTTTGGGAGCACAGAAGCAATATTGTCTTTCCATTCTCAGATCCACCAGCTGCAGGAAACTCTATAAAAGCAGAGCTATTTTCTGCCCTTCATGGTATGAGAATTGCAATTGTACCTGGTCTCTGTAACTTGATTAGCAAAAAGGATTCCAGAACTATTATCGGATGGTGGATGTGTGAAGAATGGGACCGTGGAGTCTCAGACACCAAGTAAGGGAGGTTAGGTTCCTCGCTATTTGTTTGCAGGTTGAGGTCTTATGGATCCCAAAGTCCGGCAGCTACATTGTGGATTCATTGGCCTGTGGAGCAAATAGAGAAAATGTGAAGTGGGATGGATATCCTTTAGATTAATATGTAATTTCTTGTCCTATCAGGGGATTATGGTGGAGTAGCATTGGGCTAGCTTCAACAATATATGCTGTGGATTATGTATAATATATTGTTGTATGTTATTTCTGATTTATATCTCATCAATAAAGTTTTCAATTTACTAATCAGAAAAAGAAATAAAACAAGGGAAAATGAATTGGAATCGGATCATTTTTCTAACCCTAACCCATTGGATTTGGAATCTGATAAATCCAAGGTAGGTATGGTGAAGTTTCATAAATAAATATAATAGCCTCACTCAAAAAAGGGAAGAAAGCTGCACAGGATTTGTAAACCTTCATTTTCTTTTTCTTTTATAATAATTTGAACAGGTAATTTATAGACTTCATTAAAGAGGGGATGATAGATTGCAGTGCCTATCTCAAATATACACAATTCTTTTTCCTTGTTAGAAAATCATCAAGATCTGTGCCATTCCACCTAAGTGGACTTGATCGTAGATCTCCAATTCCTCCATTATATTCTATGGTCATATCTTCAGTTAAAGGAAAAATATGTGTTAGGTTCTTGTGAGAATCCTATAGCAGTCCTAAACTTGGTTAAAATTGGGTCTCCTAGAGCATATTTCTTTGTGGTTCAATCTGGAAGGCCAACTTTTCAGCCTAAACCTTTGGGGCTGTGGGTTTGACTACGCCATTTTCTTCAATTTCAAGAAAAGGCCCAAAGATAACTGATTTTATGAGTATTTAGTTCCATATTAGACAATTCTCAAAAATCTAGATCTATTAAGATTGTCAGACTGGTTGACCAGAACACTGCACACTGCCAACCAATTTAGCAATTGACAGTCTAAATTAGAAACCAGATTGAACTGCTCTGATGGAGTGGTCATCTAATGAAACATGTGACTTTGGCCAAGTCATTGCTAATTTGCTACACATAATTGAGAACACTGCACACTTACCTCATTTTATAACCTATTGGAGCTACTCCTAAGTTCCTACTGATCCTATGCTTTCTAGTTTTTCAACTCATCCATCCCAGCATACACATTTCTTCCATACTCATTTTTTGGACATGTTGTTTCTTGATTGCCTAACACTCTGCTCCATATAGCATAGCTGGCCTTGCAACTATTTTATAGAACTTTCCTTTTAATCTAAGTGATATTTTCCTATCACATAGAACTCTGGATGCACCTCTCCATTTTTCCCATCCTGCTTTATTAGGAGAGATGATATAGTTGGTATTTAGAAACAAGAAAGTTGATAGACACGGGGGTGGTAGAGGGGGAGAGACAGGTTAATTGCCAACTTGAAAGATGATCAACAACCTACACTTGTCATATTTCCATGAGAAAGAGGGAGGTTTTGGTGCTAAAAGGATACATAAAAAAGAGGAGATGTAAATGTGTATGATTCCATAAAAATGTTTTCATTGAAAAAAAGGCATGATCAGAAGTATTGGTGGATGATGGATATCCTTTAGCATCTATTTCAATACCTAAGTTTGTCTGCCAACGAGGGAGGCATTGAAGAAGATATTGCCTTAAGAATTCAGGTCTATATCTTATTAATGGAAGAATAAGATGCAGAAAAGCCATAACAAAGTCAGATTCCCTTCAGAAGATCATCATCATCAAAGTCAGATTCCCTTTAGTAGATCATCATCATCATCCAAGCCTTAGTTGGGATAAGGCTTGGATGCTGCTGCTGCTGATGATCTTCTGAAGGGAATCTGACTTTGTGATGGCTTTTCTGGATGTATAATCATGGGCAATGGAGATGCATGGAAACTGTTAGATCGAATGCTTAACAACCCTGGAAGAAAATTGGTTAGCAACTCCGCTAATAAAAATAAAGATTAGATGAAGAATGAGATGCTTCTTGGATCACATGAATGGCTTTTAGGTTTATTACCAAAAAAAAAAAAAAAGAATGCTTTTAGGTTGCTCTTAATGAGTTATTTTGGATGCTTAAGTGTTTATTGTACTGGATTAGTTGTCTTTTGGCTTACCTTGTCCATTTACAATGTACCATTTCTTGGGAACTTCTCTTAAGGTTTTATTTTACATATGTTTCTATCGCTAATTTGTTCCTTTAGGCTAAATGAGCTGACAACATAAATGTTTTGAAATTTAATATTGGTATTGATGAATTTACCCTTTTCTATGATCCGTGACTTTTAGGCATACCTTTTCTTTCCAACATATAGTATTACTTGATGAACTTGCTTTCCTTTCATATCTGATAGGAGTTTGACCTTCATTATGCTTTCCCATTGGGCTTTTACAATGTAGCGCTTAACTTTGGAATCTCTGCGAGTGTTATTTTCCCATGGGGATGCGGATTCATGAACATGCCTTCCCCTATACCTGAGAGATTCTTCTTAGGTGGTCATTCTTCTCCTATCTGCGCCTTAGGGGGGCCAACAACATTGTCGGGGTTCAAGTGTAGAGGACTGGACTGAACCAAAAAAGCTGATTGTTGACGAATCTGACAATGAAAGTTCAGGTTCATCCCCAAGATCTTGCTGTTACTGCCTTTGCTGACCTATCTTTCAATCTTCCACTGTGGATGTTCAGAGAAGCTGGAATCCATGGACACCTATTCATGTGTGCTGGAAATCTCACTAAATTAACAGAAAATGCATTTCGAGATTTCTCATTTCAAAGTTTTGGAGAGTCTTTCTGTAGCACTGTAGGAGTTGGTGGTGTTGTCCCCACCAAGCTGTTCCGCATGGAGGTATATATTGTAATCTACATTTAGATCCTTATATCCAATTTAGCACAGCTGAAGTCGGGAACTGTCCTCGTGTACATATACTGCACATGTGCTGCTATTGAAGTATGGGCTCATGTCATTCATGGCCTTCCTTTCGCCTACAATATCTTGGGCTTGAACCACTCTTGGGAATTTGTTATATTCTGGGTTTTCCCAAAAAAAGAAAGAAGAAAGGAAAAAGGAGATTGGATCAATTTTGACCGATCGGCATCTTTGGATCATGAAGATGATATTCCCTGGATGTGTACCACCTTATGATAAGCAGGAAGATGGATTTCTTCCAATTTTTTAAAAATATATTTCTGTTAATCACTCACCCCCCTTCAAATGTTCTGACACACCTGATTTTCTTTTCAGATAAACTACTGTTACATACTGAAACAATTTGAACATGACTGCGGGAAGACGGGAGTACAATTTAATCTTTCTTCTCCATTCTACAAGCTGGACTTTTAAGATTCCGTGCTTGGTGCAAATCATTCTTTCTTGAATTGGCACATCGAATATGTTATTCTTGATAAGTTTAGCTTCTTATTCTCCAGTATATATTTGTTATTTAATCACTTATTCACCCAACTTGGGATTGTATACCATATTGTGATCGCATTATTGGGATTTCCACTAGCTGACAGCAATTTTTTCTTGAGACATGGGAAATTTTAAGTTCCCAGAAAGATGCATTTCTAAGAGGCAGAGACAAAACACAGAAGTTACATATGTTCTTATGTATTTGTATTCTCAACCTTAAGTATAATTAATTTGTATATCGGATTTACAAGGGTTTTCTTAATATTTTAATGTGTATCCAGATCTTTCCACAGACTTCATCACCAGTTTGCCGTTTTTTATCATGTACAAAATCTCTTTTCCTTCCTTGGCCTTTTCGTTTACAGCACCATCTGCACCAGAGTGGTCCAACGGGCAGCAGCAAGCCAGCAATACTCTGCACTACTTGGTACTAACCAATAATTTCAAAGCCCAGGTATACGTCTATAATCTATATACATACTACCGTACTCTCTCATTGTATTCCTCTCTTCTCATTGCTGTCACCGGTTAGCACTCAAATGCTTTCTCAAGCAAAAGTTGGAACTTCGAAATCCCATGACTAAGTGTGTGAGGTTATGAATTTTGCCTTCGCCTGTGGCAATAAAAACTTTGGGAGCGATTGGATGCCAATAGAGATACCATTTTTCCTGAGCAACATAAATCTGAACTTATTTCTGTTCACCATCGTGCTCTATTATACAAGTCAAGGTGTCTGTGGTTGGGACCTGGGATCCAGGCAGAGAGCTGCCTCACAGTCCCGAAGAGTGGATGCAGAGTTACCTATTGAGTCATGGAATGCTGCTCGAAGATGAAGTACTGCAGGTCTGTCTTAAAGTAAAAGCTATGGCTTTCGAAAGTTCTGCTATTGCATCAGCTTCTTTATGGTCACCCATCAGCCCCGGTGAGAAACATGCCGTAATGTTTTTCCATATCTCGGATTCAGGAGGGGAATAAACAGTGAAACAGGACAGTAGAAATCGAGGATCCTAACTAACCAACGAACAAACAATAAACAATTTCTACAGAAAAAAGTAAGCTGACCTCCAAACAACAGTGCAGTAAATTGAGATTTCCAATCAAATCACCTAACCATAAACAGCTTTTCCACAATATACATTTATACAATAACTTCATCATATCTTGGCTCTATGGCCATGTGACACAAATATTCCTAGGGGCTTGATACTTTGCTCCATGGTACCCTACTGATGAATGAGTCCTGGATATATTCCATTCACCAATAATCAGTCCCAGCAAATCAACATTTTTTTACTGATAATTAGTCAATGACCAACCCATACTAAATATGGGGCAACTATGCCTACATTTTTTGCAGCCCATTTAGGTTGGTTTTCTTTTTTCTTTTTTATTTCATTTAGAGATTAAATTAGACATTTTTGGTAAATGATTAAATTAGGTTTGATTTGTAGTTAATAACCCACTATCTAAAGGCTACCCCCACCCCCCAAAAAAGCTATCTATGTTTTTTGCATTTTTTCTACAATTTCTGCAATTTTTGACACTTTCTCTTCAATGTCCTGCAATTTACATGAAAATTCTGTAATTTTCATGCATATTCTGCATTTTTTTTGTAATTTCAACAAATTCAGCAATTTCCTCCATTTTCCTGCATTTTTCCTGATACTTTCATGCATTTCCTGCAATGTTTCTACAATTTATATAAATATTTTGCTAATTTTTGCAAAATTTCAGCAATTTTCTACAGTTTTTGTTTTGTTTTTTTTTTTTTTTTGCAATTTGAACCGTTGATGCATATTAAGTATTTGAACCGTTAGATGATATCTAAAATATGGGAGTGTAGTTGTTTTAGATTACACTGGATAATCATTTGTATCGCAAAAAGCACCGTCAAGAAACACTATCAAACAAATAACCATTGCTGTTTTTTTTCTTTTTGAGAAAACAACTTAGGTGGCAGCAATGGAATCAAAATAAAAATTATTGCCGTTTTGGAGGAAAACATTTCACAATTTACTTGCCATTTTTTGAGAAAACGCAATGGAAAAACACCACCTTAATGATCTAGTGACCTGATACGTTGAACTGCTGAACTATTTGACATTATTAGTTTGTCTTGGATTAAGACATTTATTTTCTTTATTTTTTGTATTTTTAGCCATTACATCATTAATAACACTAATCCTTATTTGCCGCACTTAATTTTGTTTACTGTGAAGAAGCATAAAATATGAGATTGAAACACAAAATAAGAGATTCAAACAGAAAGTTGAGGGAATGTTCTTAAGGAATTTCATAAAATTTTTTAAGTACTTTCCCTCAACTTTCTGTTTCTCTCTAATTGGTTTGGGCATAACGATTGCAGTATAAGAAGTTTGAAGCTTTGCCAGTTTCATGGATAGGCTAAAATGTTTAGATTCAAAGTTGGTCTTGGGTGTTGCTCGTGTTCACCCTTGATTAGGTTATTTCTGCATCTCTACTTTGTTTTATGTAGATTCCGTTTTAGGAAGATTTCTAACTTGCCAATTTATCTATAAAAAACTTAAATTTTTTTTTATTGTTCATCAAATACGATATCTCCTGTGATAATATCCCTACCTTCCCGTATCCCCCATTCAAAAGCAACGGCAAATTTGCACTATGTCCGTGATTGGGACTGAGGAATCGTTGCTTATTAGATGGAGGTATGGTCTTTTGAATAACATGTGTTGAGGAATCGCAAACTATGTCTTTTGTTTAGCGCTTTCCCAGTAATTTCCTTTTACAAATTGAATATGGGTGGAAAATGTTGTGATAATCTGGGTTTGAGCAGAGGTCCTGCTAAATGACACTCTTGGTGTTCAGTTTACTTAATCATTGATGGAGGTTTCAAGTAGTGTTCACTTATTTGCAGAGCATATCAAGTATTCAAGTGCGCTTAAACAACTTCGCGAAGACTATTTAAGACTTGATCCTGTTCTTCGAACTGGTTGATGGATTTTGCTTGTAATTTTAATTGTTTTTTCTGTTCTTGTGAAAGACTTTGTATTGAGTTGGGTTGAATTGGTGAGTATGCTTGGGTCTAGGGGCAAGGAGGAGGGTTACGTCCTCCTATGTGGTTATTTTTTCCTTTTGACAATGATTATGGCCAGCCCTCCATCCGAAGTAAACTGAAGGTTAAAAATTAAAAACAACCCTTCTATCCTTACTAGAAGAATGCCTATGTATAGCAGTGTTGTTTTACATTGCATTACAGAGACCTTTGCCACTCCTGATTCATACATTAAAAATAGAGGTGCCCAATGATAGGGAGATGGTTGGGTGTTGAGAGAGAGAGAGAGAGAATGGGTAGGGTTTAGAGAGTGGAAATCTCCTACAAGCAAAAATTTTGCTCACATAATATCGAACCTCACATTGGAAATATCTCTCATACATTTATGTTAAATTCATGAAAAAATGTTTCCAATATGCAGTATAGATTCCTATACGTTCACAATGTGCAGAGATTTCTTAGAGGGAATCCCGTCTCAGGTTTAGAGTAGTTGAGAAGAGGGGGAGAAAGATGAAGAAAGAAGGCTTGCAAGGAAAAGACAAGGTGCTCGCATGACCATTGACTAATATGCCCACATGTACCCAAAAGGAAATCACAACGGCACATGTAAATTCCTTTTCCGATTAAGGGCCTATTTGTTTGCTTTGAAATCTGATAATTACATTAAGAGGTATATTGGTATTGGTGAATTTTTCTTTCCTCTGAACTCTGAATGCAGAGAATGTTGTTCTGAATTTTGAAAATGATCAAATATCCATTTTAATCCCATATATGAGAATTTTTGTTTGTCTTTTTAGAGGTACCATTGGAAAACAAAAGGTTGTATGGCTACATCTTTAAGAGGTAAGAGATAAAAAGAAACGAACAATTGTGTTTGTTTGCGGTGTAAAACCTCGTCGATGTAAAAGTCCACTACCAGTTCGCTTTTGTTGGTGTTTGTTTGTAGTGTAAATCAAGATTGATGTAAAATTCCACTCTTGGTTCAGATTTGTTAGGGTTTGAATGGAGTGGAGTTTTACATCATAAATCAATGTAAAACCTCACTTATAGTAGAGTTTTACATCGACATTTTTCAAAACTCAATGGTTCAGCGATCTTGTACCATTCAATGTGAAACTCCATCCATGGACTTTTACATCAATAAGGTTTTACTCCGCAAACAAATGCAGCCTAAATAATTTCCCATGACAAATACATTGTAGCCACCGGAGCAACAGAGAATCAATAGAGTAGAACATCTGGTGGTTAGTCTATGGATCTTTATTATATATAATCCAATAATTTAGTTAGGGGTGACAAATGGGTGGGTTGGGTGTATGGGTGTCAATTGAACCAGGTTTGGTCCAATCCGATCCCATACAACATAAGTCTATTATAGATGGACCAGGTTCAATCCAATTTGATCAATACTTTGGACCATTTTGGACCAGTTCAATTTAATGTCCAGACTATCCAATCTATTCAAATTGGTTTTAATTTAGATTGGTTTCAACCCAAATTGGTCTATTTGCACTTAGAATTCTTATCTTCTATCAATGGACCAGATATCTGTTCAACCCTACCCATCCCATTATAAATCCATTATGGATAGATCAGGTCCAATCCAATCCAATAAATACTTTGGACCATCAAACTTGGATTGATCTAATTCAATATATCTTTTGGTCCATGCAATCCATCCAAATTGCTTTGATTTAGACAGAGTCCAACCTAAAACCGGTCTGTTGACACCCCTATTTGGTCGTGGGTTGTGGTTGAGTATATATCAATTCATTCATATTGACCCACTAACCCATTTGCCTCGCATGTTTAAGGATGTTGATGGGTCACTCACAACCCACCCTAACCCATTCATATGATCAGCCAAACTTTTAAATATTTAAAAAAACTGCTCTTATTTTATAAATCCATAAGGTTTCAAATTTAATTTAATTAGAGATGCTCATCGTTTTCTTCATACGACTTGGAGGAACTTGTGCAGAGATCCGTCCTTTTCCCTCTCCTCCAACCTCCATTTTCCATTCCACTTCACCACTATCATCGCTAAACTTGTGCAGAGGTCCGTCTTTGCCTCATCTCACCGCTAACTCTGGTTCACTCCTCTCCAAATTAAACGCCATGAAAGAAATATTGGAACGGTCCTGCTTGGGAGCTAGAATGTGCCACTTCCGAGTATTGTTTTCCATTGATAGCTCAATCATAATTTTTCCTAATGCTTCCAGCCTTCACCCTGACCCCATTCCTTTGACCCATATTGACCCACTCGTCAAAATTTTGTTTCTTTGAATTTAATTAAGGGACTTGCTCTATATATCCCAATGCGTTAATCCCACACTTATATCTAATTGGATTGAATTAATGAATTTATGCCTTGGCTATTCCCACTCATCCTCTAGTTACCGGGTGTTGGGGTTTGGCTGCTTAGCTGCATTGTCATGGCTTTAGTGTATGACTTTCTCATCTCAGTATTTATGATTTTACCGTCATAAATGCTGTTTTGTAATGTACCCTATCAAATGCAGTGCAGGATGGATCGGTTTTGGATTGGACTCCGCCCAGTTCAAAAACAATTTAGATGGATTAATAAGACATTTTGGATTGGACTAATCCCGTCTAAAATATTTATTAGATTGGGTTAGATTAAAATAATATCTGGTTTATTGATATAAGATAAGAATATATCTGTCAATGGATTAGGTTTGAATTGAAACCAATCTAAATCAAAATGAATTTAAATAGATTGGATGGTCCAGACATTGAATTGGGTCGGTCTAAATTGGTCCAAAACATTCATTCAATTGAATTAGACCTGATCCATTTATAATAGACTCGCATTGGATTGTATCAGATTGGACTAAATCCAATCCAATTGACACCCCTACAGTGCAGTGAAACCCCAATATCTCGAATGATCATCGGCACTTAAAGAAACAGGATGGGTTGAAAACAAAATCATACACAGCGGACTGGACAATCGGCTAGTTCAGTCCTCATAGCTTGCCCAAACCGCTAGCTAGCTCCCTGTGTATGGATTTTGTCTCCGGCTAATTACGGAGTACTCGTGTTTAATCCAGCATCCTGCAGGTGTAATAATCTGCCAAAGCACTCGTTGTTTGTAGCGCAAATCTGTGAGCGTATTTTAGCATAATGAATGGAAAAGATTTCTCATTGGGAGGCAAACTGCACATCGCTGAAAACAACGGCCCTTGTTTTCAGCATACAGCGTCTTTCATAGTTGAGTGTATGTTGATTAAAATTGGAATCCTCGGGACTAGGAAACTTTAACATGCCCTTGTTTCAGTCCGACATGAACTAGCTAGTAATGACAATGCCGCTTGCCGCAGTCTGGAAAAAGAATTTATATAAGCGTGCGGTGCGTCACCACACTAACCACAAGCCCCAAACAACAGCGTAGTAACGAGTTTGCAACGACGACGGTTACCATTCACCAATGACCAAACCATGGCTTTCATTAAGACAATTTCTATCTTCTTTCTCTCTCTCGCAATGAGGTTCTGCGTTATCGGCCGTTTTTGCTTTTGGCCATTCAATCCTCGAGTTTGAATCTCCTGTACATACAAATTTTGCTTACGTCTACTTACATAATGAAGAGCATCTCATCCTCGTATGAAGATGTTTTCAATTCACGGAAAAATGTGTTATGAGTAGACTTAGGCAGGAGATCCGGAGTCTCAACCCTGAACCCCGGCAATAACAACCACCTCAGTACACTCTTCCGAGGTGATCATCCTGCCTATGAGCGCGACTCCCCTGGTCACATAGGTTCACTAAAGGGAAGCTCGTGACCGATTTCACCGTACGTCTCTTCCTTGGGCATCAAGGAACTCCTGCCGGCCTAGCTACTTAGATCCACGGGTGACGACCAATCAACACTTGCTTACTGGCGTTAGCTTTGCATCGGCCGGTACCGGGATGGATGACTTCACCACGACCATAACTTTGCTAATTGCTACGCCTATGTGCCCTGATCCCTCCAAATTCGTTTTTGAGACGCCGTTCATCCAACTCAAACCACTTATCAGATCCTTGCCAACATCTTTACAGCCTCTCTTCTTCCTCGTCTTGTCAATTAGATATATGTATAGTGGTATTTAATTTGTTACGTACTAGGACCCACATCCATAGCTTCTAAGTTGGTCGTTATCTTTCTAACCAGCAAATTTGTTCGTATTTATTTATATTTTATGCTCGTGATTGACATATAGGAAAGATATTTCTATTGATCGAATTCTGTCTCTAATGATCTTCATTCAGAATTTCGATCTTTAACGAGAGTGTCTCTGAGTTCAAATTTAGACCACAGAATATAAGGATATTTTAGTACTATTTTGGGGCATATATGGTAAGTTTTGAAAACTTGCCAGGATATATAACCATTAACCAATAAATTATTCTATTCATCTTAATTATCATGCTGACTTTTTTGCCGGCTAGATAATACCTTAGATGAGACCCAGTCAATAGCGGGTTCTGATGTACCTAATTTAAACTAACACCCCCTTCCCCCCTAGATAAAATAAAGAGAAATCAATACGGATTAAATACCTAAACATAAGGCAGTCAACATCTTTGTTCATGCTATTTTTTTCTAAGGTTACATTTGGAAACGATGCAAATGGAGTATAAATCTTGGTTTAGAGTAAATTTGCACCTTGGTTTATTTTTGTCTGTGTTTGATAATATTACATTTATGCATTGATAAATGACAGAAAATATATTTTTCAATGCATATTTATATAGATAATAAGATGTAAAAGTACATCAATAAAAAAGAAGTAAATTTGCATTCAAGTCGGCTTTTGATAAAAAAAGACATGCTTTATTGGAATTTGTGTTTGCATCCATTATACCTAAAAGTCTGTTTGGTAAGAAGGTAAATTTGTAAGTACGAAAGTAACATAACTTTGCAATTTATATGGACTGCTTTACATTGTTCATATTTACATTCGCACTTATTTGCATCATTTCCAAACACAGCCTAAGTAATTGATCCCGATCTAGATACAATACTGGACACTATATTTAATTACCCCGTAATAGCATAGATATATTGTATTTCATATACATTGTTTTCTTTTCATGTATTCTAAATATTCAAATATTTGATTCGATTCGAATTTGATTAATTAATTATTTTAGGTAATTAATAAATATACAAAATAAATATTTTATTTATATAAAATATATAAATATATAAATTATTCATATAATTTAATTATTATATATAAATTATATTAGACATTTAATTATTTTATATATTATAATAATCAGTTGAATTTAGATATTTATCGAATTGAATCAGATCGTATCCAAATTTGAATATGATTAGCTATTCGGTATGAATAGGATATCTGAATTCGACCGACTAGATATTCGAATTCGATTTGATTATGTCAAATCTCGAATTCGAAATCGGATTTTTAAATATCATTGGCACCCCTAGTCACCTGAAGCATTTTGTTTTATTTGGGTCTCATATATACATTGTACTTGTTTTTAGGGTTCAGCATAAGAAAATAGATTGAGAGAGAGGGTTTGGGTGTAAAGGAAGGGTGTTAGGGCTTGCGAGAGACTGTTTATGCTTGTACTTCATTGTTGATATAGTGGAGGGTTTGTGTGCTTCTTCCATAACAACCCCCGAAAGCTTATGATCAAATAATAAGCACCTCTTATTCCAATCCCCTCCCCCTCCAAATCCAAAAAAAGAAATTTAAAAACCTTTGGAATCAAAATTTGAAGCTCCAATGGATGTGAAAGTGTAACGAGATGTTTGCTAGGTTGAATGTAAGAGTTTCTGGTGCAATTTGCTATTGCCTTAGGAGAATTTTGACCATGTACTATATAGAGAACATAAATCTTTACTGATCAATGTACAAAGTCCATCATATTAGTCTTGGGAGGTCTAGCAATATGAATTCCTAGATCCAAAGGGAAAGGAAGATATTAGTCTAAGATATGGTTTCTCTTGGACATGGTTTCTCATGAATGTCTAGTCTAAGATATATATTCTTTTTCAGATTTGATTGCCAAAAGTTTGTAACCAATCTGTGTATACAAGAAGTTTATATATGATCAACACTAAGTTTGTTTATGAATGTCTAGTGTGACTAGCAGGCTCATTTTTTTTTTCTTTTTCTTTTTTCATATATAACCTAAATATAATTAGCCCTTAAAAATAGCCTTTGTCAATCTGCTTCTAGACTAAAGATCGATAACGAAAGTACTCTAGTTCCATCAAGGCCTTTTTTTTTAAACTTAATCTCTGCAGCTTTTTTCACAAATTGGGTTTGATATATCTAGATAAAGCATAGCAAAACGATAAGAAACAAACAAAGGGGAATAAGTGGTGTCAATTACCTGGTATAATATTGGTACAGGATCGATAACGATCTACCATTTCTCATTGACAAGTACCTCAACATCTCACTGAGAATGAACACCATTCATATAGTCAGATCAAGAGTACTTGCGCTTCTTGCAAGCTTCCTACTATCATCTCCTCCTTTTAACCTGCTAAACTGCTTTGAGGATGAAGATGAGAACAAAGAAAGAGAGAAACTACTACCAACTTCGACATCCTCTGAATTTCTTGTGCATTTATCACGTCTCGGTGTTAGCTCTAGAGAGAGATTCAAGTCGAGGTTACAATCTGAAGCCTTCCTTTTTTCTGTGTTTTTCTCTTCAACAGTGATATTCCAGCTCGCCTCTGGAATAATGCTATTGTTCAGACAACCCATTTGCTCCCGTCCGTTGTCCCATAATTGTGTTGTGGGGTTGGTCTCAGTTGGATTTGGATTGATTGGGGTTTGCCAGGATTTAGGATGGTGAAACGGGGACAACCGCGCCCGGGATTCATGGGTTATCTTAGTGGCATGTTCAAATGGAGAAATGTCCAAATTGAAATCAGGAGTGGGAGTCAGCTTGCCGCTGTTGAGGCTGAAGTTGCTTCGGGACAGCGAACCGTGATATCCAGATCTGGTTGTAGCTTCCACCATGTAAGGGGCGCAAGATATCCAATTTCCATTTCCTCTCCAAGAAGTCTCTTCATATCTTTGATAATTAAGATGAAGTATGTTCTATGAGGCTAAGCTCGTCACAAAATTTATACCAACATGAACAGAAGTGTGTTCAGGGTGTCAAATTCCAAACCTGAAACTGCAGGAACTAGTTCTTTGATTAAACCTCTGCAACATGGGGAGTTGAGTAAGGTTGTACATGTGGCGATCCCCAACTTCCACAAAGTGCCTATGCTCGGGTATCACTGTAAAATAACAATCATTTACATAGGCTACGAAACCTTTTGAGAGGAGATGCATTGGAAACCAAACCAAAAACCCTAGTCAGAGAGAGAGAGAGAGATCCATTGAAGAAATTTCTTACCTTGACCGGCTTCATCAATCTTTTTGCTCCTGTACATCTAATTAATGGAAAAGAAAAGGAGATATATGGTTATTTGATTGATGAACTAAATCAGTTAAATGAGTACATTGTGTTCGGTGTTTTATGAGGTTTACTGATCAAATTACTTGTAGATGGCTTTTGACATGAGCAATGGTAAGGCCTTTGATGTTCATCAGGTTGAGAAGTAGCTTAGGAGTAGCTCCTGCACCAAATGATGAAAGCCCGTTAATTAGCTTAGGAGTAGCTTATTATGAGGGTTTGTACAGGAGGGATGTAAAGATGAACACTCACGATCTTGTCCCCCAAGTCTTTCAACGGCGTGAACAAAACAAAGGTGGAGATCTGGTGTCCAACGGAGTCTGGGCAACTTCGAACGGTTATACTGTCTGACGGACCCAGCAGTTGCCGAGCTCCTCTGATCATTCTGCTCTACTGTACTGTTGCTGGAGCTCCCTCCATTTTTAGGCTTGCTCTCACAATTTACCTCCTCGTCCTCGTTCTTGTCAGAAGGATATTTATTAGTCTCAGAACCTTCGGTGTCACCACTTTCCTTCATCTCTCTTTCTTCTCTCTTACCTTCTGAAAGGATGACCGAATTCATCATCCTATTCTGTATCCTCTCTTCTTCTTTCTTCAAGCAGCATACTACAATGGATACACTCAACAGTAGATGGGAACAATTGAATCTTCAATCTTTCGAAATTGGACATAAAACGACCGACCTCGATCGGCGCCAGCTACAAGTTGGGGATTAATTGAAATGAAATATAGATAGAGAAAATTATTAATTAATTAAATATATAGAGAACGCCTGGTGCATGTGTGTGGAGGGTTCGAGTCGCTGATGGATTGATGCTTGCTGCCTCCAAAAGGACCCAAAACTCAGAAAAAGACCACTCCCTTCCTATCGAGAATCACGGATTTGACCCTCCTTGTGACGGATGCAAATGTAATTGGCACGTTAGGTAAGCAAAATGAGTGAACACATAATAGGTGTGTGATATATGTTCCGTTAATGTGCCTTTTATCCAAATGTTTTTATTCCGTTAGAGAAAAAATATCCATTATTTTATTATCTTTGTCAAAATAATTAAAAAGAAAAATATAAATGAATCCTAACTCTCCACATGTTTAAGTTTTCATTTTTCATTATTTTTATTTTTAATTATTTTGACAAAGATAATAAAATAATAAATAATTTCTGTCTAACAGAACAAAAATGTTTGAATAAAAAACACATTAATTGGGATATGCATCACACAACTATTACATGTTCACTCATTGTGCTTATCTAACATGCCTATTACATCCGGAACCCCTCTATGATCAATACTTAGAATGAGTTCACATCTGTACCCCACAAGGGGGTGTCCCACAACACATCCGGCCGTGCATTAAAAACATCTTCTGATGATAGTATCAGTCTCGATGATATCATCATCGGGAGATATTCCCAATACACAACGAAAATGTGCTGTGAGAGACTGTGGGGCACAGATCTGAAGTCACTTACAACCCCCCAGCCGATAGGCGTCCTGAGAAAGGCCGCCTCAACTCCAATAGGTGGGCCACGCGTTGGAAGATCAACGGCTTCCATGCTCCCATGCCTTTTGGCCCATGCATGAACCTCGATCATCAGAAGACAATTATATGGCATCAATTGAAGGCTTCTTATCAACTTTTTTAGTGGGTCACCACTCTATTAACTTAGATCAGTACTGCTTTGGAAGTCAGTAGATACTGATGTCAATCAATATGTCAATTTGCCATCCAAGTCTCTAACCTAATTACTTTAGAGTTAGGCCTGAATTGTTGAACTTGCAATTTAACAATTATCAAAACCAAAATTTTCTATATCTTTAACTCTTTTTCTTGGTGCTTTGACATACAAACTCTTTAATACTTACACATAAATTATGGGTCCAATCATGCAGCTTTCTTTTTCTTGTCAATAAAAATAAATAATAATAACTAATTTCTGTCGAATTTTAGTAGCTCGTAATTAATGTTAATGATTAATCATATTTAATTAATTTAAGGAATAAATAAATAGAAAGAAATAAAATACTAATTAACATAAAAATGTAAACTTAAGGGGTGTTTGGTATAGTGGTGTTGCATTGTTATTGTGTTTTGTGTTATTAAATACAAGTTTGTGAGAAGTATGTATTGTAAATTCAACTAGAAAAATGTATGTATAAAGAAAAAAATATCAAATTTGATGTTGATTAGAAATAATAATTTGTATTAATTAATTCAGTTTTTAAAACATTTTAAATTATAAAAATATCTATTAATAATCAACCGAAAACACAACGCGACTGTACCAAACATATGCTTAGTGAAAGGTTTCGTTGGAGCTATTTTATATTAATTTTTTGTTGTAAAAGAAAAAGATCCGTTAAATATAAGTCAATTAAGGAGCAATGGGGTAGATGTTTGGTAGGGTCCATGTATGGAAAGGGACGAATATATTATTTTGTCGTTTTGTGTGGTATTTTCTTGCTTGAACAAGACAAGACGGTAAGCATGTATTTTTATTTTACCGTGCTAGCCGAATGCTTAGACCCGTTTGATCCTTTTCAATTGACGGGTTTTACACACTATCCAGAATTGAGAGTTGGGAGCCATCAGTATTCACAGTACCATCCTTAATTTTAGTTGTTTGTTACCCAAGACAATATTGTCAGTCAAGTTTGGCAGGTTTTGGCTTTTGGCCTTGCCTCAAGTCCAACAATGCATAGCTTTTTCCAGGCCCGACAATTAGTACTTTTAATTTTGTAATCTAATCTAAAATCTTCATTGATCCCAAATCAATACTGCCATTTTATAACTTTAATCAGTAGGGAGCTGGCCCCAACCCAACCAACCACCCTATTGAAGTTTGATACAGGTGGTTTGTTCTTCCAAAGTCAACTAACTTAATGGTTTTATGAGGATGGGCTGGAACCGGTCCACTACTTGGCCCATTCTCCAAATATAAAGATATTACAAACCATCCGTCTCTCTGGATCTAACTGACAATATATCCCACTGGTAGTGCGACATCTAGGCCCATGATTTGGGTTTTTTCCATTAGTCTATTCAGCTACACAGCGAGGTATTATTTTTCTGTTGAAATTGAAAATGAGACGAGGGTTGAAACAAAGATCAAATCCGATAAAACCATCGTTGGAAGAACAGAAATCTGATAATCTAAGCTTCTTATTAAGAGCTTCATTATGGTATATTCAATAATATTGATTATATATATATATATATATATATTTATGTTGAATCCAAATTTAAATCCATTACGTTTTCATTGATTCAAGTTTTACAAAATATACTTTTAATGTTTTATAAATCCAAATTTAATTTGCTGTACGCTGCAGCCGGTGCGTCATTGATTTTGCTATAAATAAATCCCTTAGGCTATGCTTGGTTTGAAGGAAAAGAAGGGTAAGAAAATTTATACAATGTTTCTTTACCTTTTTCCTTCAAATTAAACACAGCCTTAAAGAAAAGTAAAGTTTATTTCTGATCCGCTGGGCGATCAAAAAACAGTTGCAAGGAATTTAGGTTTTATGTATGATTTAGTTGAGAGTAATAAAGGAGAGAATAACATTAATAACAATACCAAATTTAGTAATAAATTGTCCTAAGTGGATAAAGGTAGACTCTTTTATAATGATGAGCTGGTCTTGCATGTAAAGAATATAATTAAAAGCCCAGGTTTTCTGATCCAACTCTGCCGAGCAGACCCCAACCTGTAATGTCAAACTCCCAACAACAGTAATCCCCATTGTTTTTGGGTAAGTTTTCTTTTGTTGCATCAAATCAGAATACGTGAAACTATTAATGTGAATCTACCATGATCTCACAATCAATATATATATATATATGCCCATGGCATGCCATCTCCTACATGATTCATACATGCCACGGCTGGTCATTAATTTTGACCCCTTAAGCTCATCGGTGAAGGCGATGCTAATATATATATATATATTTCTGTTTTAATAATTTATGGAAGTGTACGTACGCCAATAATACAATGAAGTAACCGGACTCATCAGCTGATGGACTGACTGGGATTAGACAGTGGGACCGGGTGGCTACAGAAATGGACCCCCCTCCCCCTTGGGCCTTGGCCCTCCAGGTTTTTCTTAAAATTGTCGTGGGAGATGGTGAGACACAATTCAATTAAGAAGCTGGTCGACCCTCGATCGTCCAGGTCATAGTACGTACGGTCCTATTAATTAATTCTAAAAAGGATACCCTTAGGCCCATTTTTCTTCCCTTTTTGGGCTCAGGCTCAGCCAATGGTTGAACCGGATGCAACTTATAGACATTATTATAATGGTTTAGGCACATGACAGACATGCAGGTGTAAAGGACTCCACATTTCGTGTTGTTCAAGGCCACATCTCCGCCCCACAATGGGCCGCCCACATCTCCCGATGATGATATTATTGGGACTGGTATTATCATCGGGAGATATTCCCAATACATAGTGCAGATGTGCTGTAGGGCGTTGTGGGGTGGCCCCTTGTGGGGCGGAGATGTGAACTTCTAGCATATAAAACCACTATGACCGTAATAAAAGCATATAATAAATTTCGTGAATTTATTTAGGGGTGTTCTATCATGTAAATGGTTTTTCGTTGCTGATTTCAAAAATAAATCAAAATCATCTTGTTTAAAAATAAATTGTTTTTTAAAATAAAAAAACACAAATAACATGCTTTTGATTATGTGTATATATATATTGTTTTCAAAATTGAAACAAAAAACATATTCTTAAACCTGGTTTCAAGCATTTGTTTTCATCTGATTATTCAATCTCATGTTCCATAAATCATATAATTTTTATACTAAAAAATTTATTTTTATTTTAAAAACTAATATTTTGTTGAACTCAAAAATATATAATGTTTTTTGAAAAAAAAAATAACTTATTTAATAAAAAAAAGTTCAGAAACATATTTATGTTTTATCTTTTTGCTGATGTAGCAATTCTAAAAACCAATGAAAAAAAAATATTCATGCTGACTGTGTTTGGTTTGAAGGAAAAAGTAGGGAAAGATAAGAAAATCTTTACAAACCATGTATAAGTTTCCCTATTTTTCCCTTACTTTCCTTACTTTTTTCCTTCAAACCACACATAACATTAGTGTTGAGAAATCCAGATCAGATAGTCATAATTGTATGGGTCACTCGGTGGATATATGCATGGTAATGGAGTGCACGTAGAATTTTTTTTGGTAAAAGAGAGCTTTATTCCAACCAAAAAAACCAACAGGCGAAGATACAACTGAATACATTAATGGAGGAAACAGGGATTGATAAGAACCCTTTAGGAAGGGTTTAATCCAGGGGTGTACACATATTGAAGTTGGGTAGAATTTAATTATCAATTTCCTATTGAAGTTGAGTAGTGGTTTACACATATTTATCAAAACGTACATGCGCAAGGTTTTTAATAATATTACGATATTATATTTGTGTCAAATATTTTCATGTCTTCTTCTTCGTGTCTGTAAATCTTTATTGCGTCCCCACGTTAGTTACATCTTACCTATACTTGCCATCAATCGACAGCTTACTCATTTAAATTGATCTATCTGATATTCTTGACTATTGTTGTTAGGTATTACTAATTTATTATAAGCTTGAGGTGTCATAATAAACATAAAATACAAGGAAAAAAATTGAAATACTGGTGGACTGTTGAGGTGGTATATAGAAAAGACA